GCACGCGAGGAACGTGTCATTACATAGCGAGAGGAAGGGGGGGAGAGAGAGAGAGAGAGAGAGAGAGAGAGAGAGAGAGAGAGAGAGAGAGAGAGAGAGAGAGAGAGAGAGAGAGAGAAGAGAGAGAGAGAATCGAGAGAGAGTAGAGAGAGAGAGAGAGAGAGAGAGAGAGAGAGGAGAGAGAGAGAGAGAGAGAGAGATGAGAGAGAGAGAGAGAGAGAGAGAGAGAGAGTGTGAGTGATCCGCAGCTTGGTGTCGCGCCGTCGACGGTCACCGGCTGCGTTGGAAGGAGGCGGGTATCACAGGCGGACCTTTGACCGGCCGGCTGCCGCCGCCAATAAGGAAAAGTGCCTGGCTTGTGGCGCTCACGACTAGCCGTGTAGCCGTGGGCTTGGCTCACTTCCGATATAGGGCGGGGCGGGAAGCAGATCAGCCGGCCGGAGGAAATAGTCGGCCGCGCGCCTGTGTTCCGAATGCCACCTCCGATCGGACGCGGAAAATTAGAGCATTTGCTCTTTTATCTCGTGAGAACACGGAAACTTTGCACCTATTTTTGACACATGCCCGCGCAGCTACCATAGATTGGTCATGGCTGTAGGAAACAGCCAAGATAACAATGAAAACTGACCTATTTTTTACCGGCCACAACCACACATGTTCACGACTCCAGATCCCTTCACATATTCCCAGCAGCGGCTTAATTCGTTCTCACAGCTTAGTTTGCAAACTGTTCATATTTCCTTCCGAATTGACTTTGTCTGCGTCACTTCCTAGATTTGCGTCAAATTACTGCATTACCCACGCTGAGAAAGCAAAGCCTTTCAATTCGTTTCACATCGTGAGGCGTGCCTTTTTTTGTTCCAGCGATGTAAACCATTTCGAAATTTTCCCATACCTGTCACAATGATATCCACTTAGCTGATGTCAATACAAAACAAAGCATCTGCGAGGCATTGATAGGTCCGGATTTTTTCACTTTTTGGGATCTGTGCGCAGTGCAGGCTGCAGTGACTTCACTGTTCAAACCAAGGTCTATCCAGAATAATTGCAATTTTATTGCGCATGACACTGTATTAGTACTTGCACATGTGTGCCTTCATGGGACCAACTGGTGTAGTGAGATCGATTTGGAAACCCGGGCGTTGAAAATTGGGAATTGGAGATAATTGGGTGCGTAAGGCAGGCACGCTGTGCGCTTTTGCCATAACCAAACTGCAAAAATGTTATTAAGGCCGAAAAACCATGAGCCTTTCTGGCGTACCCAGGAACCCTTCTGGCTGACCTAACGCATATATAGGGTCCTAATTTGCGAACTACTCGTCCGTAATTTCACTTACCAACGATAAAAATGAGCAATTACAATGCGCCCGGGTCAAAGAAAAAAGGCGCAAATTTCAGCCATGCTTGTGCTGACAGCACTCCCCACCAAACTACTTACAAAGATATCTAATTTCGTCTTTCACCAATCAATCAGATTTGTGTTTCCACACAAAGTTTGCATTAACCCTTGGAAACGCTATTCACTTCACCTTTAGTCTTCCTTGTCTTATTTTCGTCACGACCGGTGCAACGAATCTAAAATTTGCGCGAACTTTGCAGAAGTGTTTAAGCTACCTTTTGCCAAAAACTGCAGGTCGCATCATCATTCACAGAGTCAAAAAATGATATTAAATTCGTCAAAAGCGTATAGTTTTCCGACTTTGTACAAGGTTCATATGCATGTCATTAGGAGTTCATGTGGATGGTTGGCTTTAGTAAATCTCATGCGGTCACAATTATTTTTTGAAAGGCTATGCCATCCTAGACCATGCCTCGAACCTCTATGAGATTGAACTGTTGTAGCAAAATATCCATGACCCATGAACACCACCAACCATGGCTGGGGATATGGATGGCATCACGGCAATGTAAGAATCAGGTCATCCTAGGTCACGTCGAAACGACATCGTACAATAACAAGCTGGCCATATTCCATGTGCCCGGCTATATGACGGGATTACATTTGGCTGATGAGCTGATTTTGGTCCTGAGCTTGTGATTGGTGACTTCAAACTAAGGCAATCCTATGACACACCAGTTTGATGCGCGGCCCATGAAACGTGTATCGCCGTGTTTCGCTCTAAGGCAGAAATCAAGCTATATCTCTTGACTTAGCAGGACCGAAGAGGCACTTTATCCACAGGCACGGTCCATATTTGTTTTATAACCACTGCACCTCCACTAACTACCATGCTACATGCCAGTGACGAAGTAATGAGATGAACATCTAATCTTCCAGACAATCTTTCAGGCATGATATCTCATACTTCTATTTGAGTACTTAGTCATGCCTGGCCTGAGCCGGAGTTGATAGCGGTTTTGAGACTCAGTTCACATATTACATACGAAAACGTGACACACGCGATCAAATCACGTCACCCCAGCCGGCAAGAATACTGGGGCCAAGCCCCCGGTGAGCCAATGGGAACGGGGCTGACATAAGGTCGACAAGATAGCCATGTGCCGCAAAAATGAGCACTGGAGCAGCCAAAGCGGCTGTTTTCAACCTCGTGACGTCCTCTAGCTTAGTCCATCCCCG